GGTATACTCTGGAAAAGAATGGACATTTTGAAAAAAGAATGGGCAGGGCACCTCGTGCTATCTCAACTTTTAAGCTAACGGCAGCCAACTCTGTTGTGTGGAATGGTTAAAACTCCAATAAAAATCCACAGGGTTTGGTTCAACTGGAGCTGCTGCAAGTTGGGAGAAAATCACAGTGAGTGTGAGCCAGAATTCTGTCCCTAAATTCTGCCCAAATCTCTGGCTGATGGCAGAAAGAACTCGTGCACAAGGCCAGCTACAGATCAGCTGAATCTAAAATAAGTGGACTGAGATCTGAGCATCTGCCAAGGGAGAGCTGGCAATTCTGACCAAGTTAAATGCCTGTCAAACAAACAAACAAATCAATACTCTTCAGGCAAACTGAACATGACCAAGAGTTTCCAATCCACAGTAAACAGGACACAATTCAGAGTCGCTAGAAATAAAAAAAATCAAGAAGACGTAACCCATCCTCACAACAAAAGACAATTAGCAGATGGGACCTTAAAGGAGTCTAATTCTTGCTAAAAGATATAAAGACAAATATTCCTGTAGTGAATGAACAAATATAAAATCTTAGCAGAGAACTAAAATTTTTAAGTGAAACAAATTCTAGAAAAAAAAAATTCTCAAACTAAAGACTTGTTGCACGGGATGAAGGAGAGTAGAGAGGTGGCCAGTGAACCCGAGGGCATGGCAGACGCCATTCCACCTGAAGAGCAGAGGGAGACCAGGTTAGAAGGCAGTAAACACAGCCTCTGAGACTTTACACGCTGGTGTAAATGGTCTCCATACACGTAGGTGGAGTCCCAAAGAAAAGCAGAAACATATTTAAAGAAATAACGTCCCCAAATTCCCCACATTTGGTAAAAAGATAAATTTTCAAGTTTGAGAAGTCAGAAAACCACACCCGAGACAATCACCATCAAGATGCCAAAAACCTAAAAACTAAATTCAACTCTAGAAAACGGGCAGGGGAACAACCATCTGAAACTGTACTGATCAGAATATAATGAAGGTCACCATCAGATACAATCGCCAGGCACAGTGAAGGCCAGAAGACAGTGGAGCAACAAACACCCTTCAGGTGCTGAAACAAAAAATCTGTCACCTAGAGCTCAGTATCCAGCAAAAAAAATCTTCGGGAATGAAGGCAGCAATTTTCAGACAGCAAACTCTGTGATCACTTTTGTCAGTAACAGACCTGAATTACAAAAAAATAAAAAATAAAGTGTTCCTCCACTTGATAAAAAATGACAACAGATAGAAACTTCAATTTTCATGAGGGAAGACAGACATCCTACGTGGCAAAGATACCAAGAAACAAACATAGGCCTCAGAACACACAGGGAATGGAGAGGTCAGGGCTAGGTCGAGGTCCCAAGGGAGAAAGCACATCTCAGGTAGAGTTGGCCAATTTTCTATCAAAAGCAAAGGAGTAAATATTTGAGGTATGTGAGCCACTGTTTGTATCACAACTCCAGTGCCGCCACTGTAGTACACACACAGCCGTTAACAATGTGTGAATGGACAAGTTCAGCGTGTGCAGTGAAACTTTATAGAAACAGGTGGCAGGCGGAATGTGACCCAGCGTATAGTTTGTCACCTCCTGGTCTAACCAACAGGCAGCTGTGAAAGGGGCTGGACATCTAGGAATCAAGTCTGTGTAGAGATGAGAAAATCAAAAGAAATAATTCATATGAAGGCCAGGCGTGGTGGCTCGCTCATGCCTGTAATCCCGACACTTTGGGAGGCTGAGGTGGGTGGGTTCATTTGGGGTTAGGAGTTCAAGACCAGCCTGACCAACATGGTGAAACCGTCTCCACAAGAAATCTTAAAAAAAAAAAAAAAAAAAAAATTAGCCGGGTGTGGCGGTGCACTCCTGTAATCCTAGCTACTTAGGAGGCTGAGACAAGACAATAGCATGAACTCAGAAGGTAGAGGTTTCAGTGAGCTGAGATCGTGCCACTGCACTCCAGCCTGAGTGAAAAGACTCTGCATCCCAAAAAAAAAAAAGAATGAACGTGAAACTGCTATACACACACAAATATATGTATATATATATATATCATTTGGTAAACTGTAAAGTGGTACAGAAATTTGACATACAGAACAAAAAGACGAAATTAACTGTCTTAAAAACGGGGAACAATGAAAATGTCAGAATATTCATAATAAAAAAGAGAAATAGCTAAGAAGGAAAACTTTGTCTTGTACGTTCCATTTCCCTGTGGAACTCTAACACCTCGCATACATGTAGCATAAATTTGAGAAAATTGGTCAAACTAATACCTAAGCCATAATGAATTCTTAGATCATGTAAGGACTAAAGCCTTAGTGAACAACACGTGGCTTCCAGCCTATTACTTTACTGCCCTTTATTTCAGCTTTTTAATCAAAAAAGTGAGGATAATAATTCACAGCGTTAATATAATGCCCAACAGAGGTACTACAAACTGTACTTTTTAAATGTACTGTGACAACTTTTAGACATTATCTACAGCTAATGAGAAAAATGGAGGCAAGCATTTACTTCCACTTTTAGCACAATATGAACTCTTACAAAGACTTCAAATGATTAGCAAATCAAACCAAAGTGATTCCAAAACTATTCTTCCATGGTCATGTAAATAATGCCACTTTACGTAAACCAAAAATGCTATAAAAGTAAAAACAATGGCCTACAGATTGGCTAAAAGTATAGTCTGAAGTTCTATAGAATATTCATTTTCTGTTTCTAAAATATTCTGTTCCTCTGGCATTCAGCGTTCCTTGCCATATCGACAGTCCAGTATAAAATGCCTTGAAAAAACCTCAAAGCACAGCCAAAAAGTTAAGGGAACAAAGTATTTTCATCATGGTTGGTAAAGTGTCACAGATTCAAAGAATTAGTGGCACAAAAGGAAGGCCACTCCATCACCAAGTTCCAAACCTAAAAAGACACAAGCTGAATGAAAAAACAGAGACCAACCAGAATCCAAGGGAATCATGTACTGCGGTCTTTCCTGAGGGTTACATAAATGACGATCAAAGACAATTACAAAAAAAAACTGTGTCGGCTTTATCAAATCCACAAGTAAAGATCACCTGGCAGATTAGTAAAACCTAAAACTTTCCATGCACACAACTGTTTGACGTCACCTGGCAGGAAATTAATAAATACCCTTTAATACCTGATGTAAACAAAGAACATAAAATAGTCACACAGAAAAAAACCGATGGCTGATCATCCAGCACAGGCCTCCGTCCCTCCAAAGGAAAATTTCAGAAAAGCAACAAAACCTCAAAGCCCTATATAAATATATAATAAAACAGCACATTATATTAGGCTGGTGCAAACGTTTTCACGGTTTTTGCACTGTTGAAATTTGCCATTAGATACTGGAATACGTTCTTAAATAAATGTGATTAGACATCACTTTCATGCGTATTTCTAGCTTTACGGTTTTTTGCTCATGATCTGGTACTTGCTGTTTATTTTATGTTTTAGACTACAGAAAAGATTAGACAAAAGGTAAATCTGGGCAATTTTCTTATTCCAGTTCAAAATGGGTCATTACGCAGTGGGGACAATTTGCAAGATCAACACCGCACCGGCCCAGGAACTGCTAACAAACGTGCAATGCAGCGGGGGTCAAGGAGTTCTGCAGAGGAGACGAGTCTGGAGGATGAGGAGCGCTGTGGCCGTCAGAAGCTGACGACGACCAACAGAGAGCAACCACCGAAGCCGATTCTCTACGACTACACGAGGAGCTGGTGAGAACTCAACACCAACCATTCTACAGGCCATCGGCATTGGAAGCAAACTGAAAAGGTGAAAAGGCTGAGTAAGTGGGTGCTACCTCATAAGCTCAGTGAAAAATTTTACAAACTGTCATTTTGCAGTGCCATGTTCTCTTATTCTAAACAACAACAATGAACCATTTGATTGGATTGTGATGTGTGCCGAAAAGTGGATCTTATACGACAAAATGTTAAAGCGGTTGGACCAGCTCAGTGGTTGGACTGGGAAGAAGCTCCAAAGCACTTCCCAAGGCCAAACTTGCACCAGAAAAAAGAAATCACGGTTGCTGTTTGGTGGTCTGCTGCTGGTCTGACCCACTGCGGCTTTCTGAATCTCAGCAAAACCACTACACCTGAGAAGTACGCTCAGCGAGTCAATGAGAGGCACTGAAAACTGCAACGCCTGCCGCCAGCACTGGTCAACAGGAAGGGCCCAGTTCTTCTCCAGGACAGCACCCAACCACATGGCACACAACCAACATTTCAAAAGTCGAATAAATTGGGCAACCAAGTTTTGCCTCATCCGCCATATTCACCTGACCTCTCATCAACCACTTCAAGCATCTCGACAACTTTTTGCAGGGAAAATGCTTCCACAACCAGCAGGATGCAGAAAACACTTTTCCAAGAGTTTGTCGAATCCTGAAGCACAGAGTTTTACACTGCAGGAATAAACTTATTTCTCACTGGCAAAAAAATGTGTTGACTGGAATGGTTCTTAATTAATAAAGATGTGCCTAAGCCTGGTTATGATTTAAAATTCACAGTCCAACACCACAATTACTTTTGCACCAACCTAATATGTTATTTCAAGAAGCACCGTATCTGCTTCTGGAAGGCCCGAAACAGCAGGCAAGCTAGAGGACGCTGCTGAAAAGACCTGGCCTTCAAGGCCGCCTGTACAGCACCCGAGGCACACAGTGCTCTTGACGTCAGGCCATTCTCTGTCTCTCCCAGAGGCTCTTCATCCCTCCTAGTCCTCTACGGAACACCTTAAAAACCACCATTCTTGTCAAGTGTTTCTCTGAAGATTCCTGCTATATAAACGAGACGGTCTAAAATAAAGCTCTGACTATAAAGGCTGATTTACCCCAAAGATTTAAAATAACTTCAGTTTGCATCTTCAGAAATGCGAATTCTAAAATTATGCCACACTTAATCTTTTAAATACCAATTATACCAACCTGAGCGTTGCCAACTTTTAGCATCTCACTTACTTGGTGCATTCTTCTAAAGACTGTACGAGCATTTGCTGGAAAGAACATATTTCTTCTAGATTTCCCATTAAGTATGAAATGTTTGCTGAACTTAACCTAGAGCCAAGAAAAATAACAGTAAAAATATGTAAACAGTGTCACTTACATTCTTCGCCTTTGCCATCCCAATGTCAACCTGAAGTCTTAACCTGATAGACAAACTGCTGATGTGTAAGGCCAACCGGTACCCTAAATTCTGTTACACTATTTAACCCTCTATTCTCTGAAAATACAAGAGAACAGCCTAAGGTTTAGACTAGTTTACAGTTAATGCAATTTATCAGCTAACTTACTTCTCACTGGTCTGCAATGGCCGTAGGTAGGTTGAAAGCACAGTCTGAAGTTCTTTAGAATATTCATTTTCTGTTTCTAAAATATTCTGTAGCACCTATAATAAATGATGAATATGTGTTATTTGACATTTCAATTGCTATTTGACACTAAGATTTATACACTTTGGACAGTTCATCACCATTGTTCAATTCATACTGTTACTTCCACATAACACGAAGGCGTTGAGTATCACCATTCCTTTTGACACTGACTACTAAACCCACGTAATGAATGATTACGAAGGCCACACAACTGACTTTTTCTTCTTGCCAACCTCATCTGACACAGGTACACCTGGCATGAATTCCGTCATCAGATACCATGTCCGTTTACATCAAAAGGAGAGCTGCCTGTAATCACAGCAGCACAGACGAATCTCGACAACACTGTGCGGTGCAAAAGAAGCCATCCCCCAACACACACCCTGCATAATTCCATTTATGTGAAGTCTAAGAGATGGCAAAACTAATCTATGGTGACAGAAATCAGAGAAGAGGTGACGGGTAGGATGGGGAGGACAACAGGGAAAGGCGAATGAGGTAAATTTCTAAGGTGATAAATAGGTTCTGTATTTTGATTTGGGAACCGGTTACAACAGATAGATACATTGTCAAAGTTCATCAGACTGTACCTTTAAAATCCATGCACTTTAACGAATGTAAAATTTATCTCAACTAAAAAAACAGTGTACTCTTTAGACTGCATCTAAAAACTGAAATCAATTTCTAGGAACTATAGATTTTCCCTAGTAAATATGAACAGTCTCAGACCACCTTATTACCACATTTACTAAAAATTAAAGGTTTATCAATGTAAACAATCTTTACTACTTCATTTAAAGATAGCAGAATAATTACAAATTAACCTTAAAATTAAAATGTTTCCTGATACCCTGGATTAGTGTAGCAAACTAGGCAAAAATAAGTCTTAAAAACTGACAGATAAATATGGAGTGTAAACTGGTGAAACCAAGCAGGATGCTTTCCACCAGCTACCACTGCAGCTACCACTCCTGGCCCAGGGCGGAGCCAGGAGGCGCCTGGATGTCAACTGCAGGTGCTCCTTGCACTCCTGGCACCGAGCAAGGTGCTCTGCACACACCACCTCTCCTCCTAGAGAAACTACTTCTCCCGACTCAAACAGCTGGGAGTAGCCCCAGGTCCTCCTGCCACTGCACTGCACCACACTGTCTTCTTTGGCATCAGACTGAGGGGGTGACCTAAGTGAAAAAAGTGGAATCCTTGCCTCCACGCTTTTTCACCTGACTCTGCTGGAGAGCTAGTGCTTTTTCCACCAGAAAATCACATTTCATGAGTCTTCTGTGCATCTAGTACATGCATTAAGATGTGCTATTTGTCTCCCAGAGCTAACGACACATTTTAAATTACTCATACCAAAGAAACTGTACAGAAGTAATAAAGATATTAAGTAAACATGCTCAGTTTTCTCCCTGTAATTTTTGATAATACAAATGCCTTAGTAAAGATAACCTGGACCATTATTCTGTTTGCTACACAGTTGACTGTAAACTCTGAGAAAGAGCACATTCCTGAGTAAATAGTCATCCTGAGCAAATGCAAATCTGACTAAATCACTTTCTAAACTACTAGGGGTGGGGGGGGGGGCGGGAAACAGAGGCTCTTCCACTAGTGACAAGAAACTCTGGCTCATCCCTGAAGGGGTCTATTCATGGGAGACAGCTGTGGGGGAGCCAGAGCGAGGGGCCCTGCAGGGAGCTGGCTGTTCGGGGCCCACAACCACAATGTCTTCCTTCTATGACATTCCTGTTGAACACAGATGTCAAAGGCCCAGTGAACAGAGGCATACAGTGATGCCAGGCACTGCACCCAGAGACACACCCCAAACCAGGCCTGTTCTCCACAACATCAGAAGCCAGCCAAGCATAACAGGATCTCAAACTAAAGAAGATAAAATAAGATCTGTCACTGACATGTAAGAAAAGTCCTTTTCCAATGTTAAAGATACAAAATATTATTTAGCATAATTACAAATGCTGAATACCAACTTAATACTGCTCGGTGCATGCCTGAAAACCTATATACTTATTTCAAACAGAAAAATGTTCCTATGTGAGATAAGAAAGAAAACAGCCACTAGCAACTGTAACTAGCAGGAATATGAGAAGAAAATACAATGACCTTTTGTCCATCACAGCACTAAGCACTGGATGTAGAAATGAAAGCTTCCCATAAGTACCAAAAACTACTCCAAAAAACCCTCTGACAAAAAGCTACATTCATGAAAATAGTTAAGTTGGTTAATTCGACTAATAGTCTTAAATACTATTTTCAAATAGGGTGCTAAACACAATTCCTCTTATTACTCCCAACCAAACACTGCAAGTTACACTTAACTTTTCCTCTAACACACAGCCAGGCCTGGCTCCCTGGCTCCAGCTGGGGTGCCCACTCCCTCTGCCAGGAGGCTGCTGGCCTTCCTGACCTTGAGTGCAGCCATGGGTGCCACTCACCACCTTTCTTCCCCTCCTTGTCTTCTGCACGATCTGGCTGCTGCAGGACCCCATAAGACCTCACAGCCTGGCCACCACAGCTCCATCCCACCAACGCTGGAAACCCAGAGGACACACGCAGTTTTCGGAGAAAAAGCAGCTTTTACAATTCACAGTGCTGAAGAAAGGGCCAGAGAGCTAAGCTCAGCCAGCACCAATTTCCAGGGTCATGAGGCGTGGAGCACAGTCAAACACTGGTGCCACACAATCCCTGCGCCACCCGCACAACAAAGATGACTCGCTTCTGCGCCTCGCAGACACACACGCCAACGCTTATTTATTCATTACTTCCTTAAAGGAATACTTAGTATTTCTGATTTTACAATTGGGTTACAACTTTCACTGCCAATATTGGTATGTGTTTTATGTTTATATGTCATCAATAGCCTTTTAAAAATAAATAACTGATTTACATAAGAGAACCAATAACATCAATTTTTTAAATTTCATTTGGATAAAAGATTTTTATCATCATACAACCAAATTTCCATAGCCCAAGTCTGAAGTCAAAGAAGAAAACCTAAAAGATGGCACAACTATTCAAACATCTACATCCACCTGCCTAAGCAGCTCCTCCCTGCCCACTGCTACAGAGAAACACGGCCATCATTTAAGTTTCTCCCTTCCAGTTTATTTACACTTCAAGCATTTAATTTTCAAAAAGTAAATTAAAGACAGTGGTTCACCACACAGTGTAGCCTCTAATAAACATGTGACTACAGGGAAAGGAGGAGGGAGGAGTGCAGACAAGCAACCCCTGAAGCCCCTGCTGGCTCATCCACAGGTGGCAATGGCATCGGGCAGTCAGTGGCTCCCCCACCACACACAGTTACTAATTTAATCAGCACGCTAGGGCTGCTGGTCCTTACTAATGCCTAGGAACATTACCTCTCAAAAAAAGTTTGGAGGGACCACATCATGCTTTTCTTTTATGACACTGTATCTTTTGAAAGAAAATATGTTATTATATTATTTTTAAACGTGGAGATTCACAGGTCTTGGGGTATGTTTCTCGCAAATGTTAAAGGTTTACAGGCTACAGCTCCTGCAAAGCCTCCCAGCCCACAGGGGGATGCGGATGCCCGCAACGGCACCTGCACAGCAGCATGACGACAGGTAAACAGCTGGCGTCTGCAGCCAGGTAGACCTGTGCTCACAGCTGCACTCCGCCACCGACTGCCTGCAGCTGGACAAGTCTATCAGTCTGTTTCTCTTTTTCACAAAAAGGGGTTTTACTGGGTTATGATGGTTACTCAAGAGTGCCAGCCCTTGGCTTACGGCAGGAAGGCATCTAGTCAGCCACCTTTCAAACTTCCAGCCCAGTCTGGAGTCTTACTTGGAGCTGCTTCTTGAATGACTCCTTCAGTCCGAGGGCAATGACTTTACAAGTCAGGCTTTCTTCCAATTAACCAACTCAATTCTCCCAAACACTCAGCTCTTCTCTGTGTCAGCCTTCCACTACTGCCTACCTGACAACTTTCATCTATATCATCTTCATCCAGATACAGCAAAGAAATCCATGAAAAATAATGGGAGCCAAGTGTGAAAGAGGCCAGCAGACACCTCACCACCCAGCAAAGGAGGAAACCCCACAAGCTGCACACCCTCCCTGATGCCTCAGGGCCCCTCATAATTAACCATCTCCACCTACAAGTCCCAGGCAGAGACTTCAGGGGTCCCAAGATTTAGAAGAAATCTTGGTTTAAGGTGGAAAAAGCCAAGGGAAAAGTAGAAGATGAAGAGATGAAGCAACTCCAGGGTTCAGGGTCAGTGCCGACAGACGGAGACAGAGGACACCAGGGTTTCCTCCTTGGACTGGCATCTGGAGGCCCCGAGAAACTGAAGGAGCAGGAAGAAAAAGACAGCCATGGGGCTTCTCTGGAGCACAGGAAAGGCCCGTGGAAGTGTGCCATGACATCTAAGGATACAAAACCATTTTTGTACACTTACGGATTAAAATGAGTGACTGCCACCTATTACATTATAGTCACAGTATTACCATCATACACTAAATAACAGGAAAAGTGACATGGTTTGGTTCTGTATCCCCACCCAAATCTCACCTTGAACTGTCATAATCCCCATGTGTCAAGGGCAGGACTGGGTGGAGGTAACTGAATCACGGCGGGGGACAGGGGATGGGGCATTCCCCTATGCTGTTCTCATGATGGCATGATGGTGAATTCTCACAAGACCTGGTGGTTTTATAAACAACTAGCATTTCCCCTGTTGGTACTCTTCTCTCTCCCACTGCTCTGTGAAGACGTGCCTTCCATCACGATTATAAGATTCCTGAACCCTCCGTAGCCATGTGGAACTGTGAGTCAATTAAACCTCTTTTCTTCATAAATTACCCAGTCTCAGGTATTTCTTCATAGCACTGCGAGAACAGACTAATACAAAAAGCCTACAAAATAAAATCGTAGTGCGTATCACTGAGCAGAGAAGGCCATGAGGACCATGTCTTCCCAGTCAGCAACTTAAGGAACCCCATTCTCTAATGATGGAGGGGTGCTCCTCGTCCC